TCCTTCGTTTTCAAAAGATTCCGCACGACGTTTGCCTTCATATAAATAGGATGTGCGCTTCTAGAATGCAACAAGATGTTCGACGAGGCACTTTTTCTATACCATAGGTGTTCCTTATGACCTTCACTAATTCGTGTCTTCGCATTGAGGAATGGAAGGAATCCATCCCTTCCCGGATCTTCCCTTGTGAAGGTTATGTTAGCATCGTGAGAGTTAAGTCTCTTCAACGTTTCCACAAGGTCTTCTTCCGTCGTTCCGATAACGAATACGTCATCAATATAACGTTTGTAGAATAAAATTCCGTTAGTTAATGATGACTTCTCGATGTGGTCCAAGAAGATGACCGCTAACACAGGTGCTACGCGGTTACCCATGGCAAGGCCTCGTTTCTGCTTGTAAAACTTATTGTCGAAGCAGAAAATGTTGCATTCCAGTGCTGCTTCGATGAGATCCTTAACTTCGCTGCGGGAAAATCCCATCATCGTGATATCGTCTTTGTTATCCTCGATGAGAGATAAGACAGCTTGCACTGCTCCCGCGTTATTCACATTCGTGTATAAGGATACTACATCAAAGCTCGCATAGAAGGCTCCCGTCGGTACTGGACATTGGTGAAGAGCCGAAATGAATTCTTCAACATTCATTTCGGCGCTTCACCAATGTCAGAAAGCTGTTACAGGCTGCTGTCATAGTCCACCGGCAGTGCTAGGGGGTAGGAGGGAGGCAGACGGTCGGTCGAAGGGCTGAAACCAAAGAAGAACAAGACCAAAAACCAAACGCCCAGGGGCTTGCACAAATTGTTTTTATCTTGTCTCTCTTTGCTTACAGCCCTTCGAAGGGGCTGACGAACTATGAAAGCAGCCACATGTTTCTTTGCTGTTTGTGATTAAATGTTTAATGGTAGTGTTGAAGTTAAAAATCTCCACTTTCTTTTCCACATATCAATGTGCCATCGGCCAGCCGTATATCGCTCGCAGGCTAACGCCGATGCCAGCGCCGGTAGTGAGAACGCAATCACTGGGGTTTAAGTTGTTCCAGTGAAACCGATGTGATGTTTGGTCGAGCTTTCCCATGCCGCTTGAAACAATCATCACAAAACGTAGAGCAGTATTTGATATAAGTAGTACCAACTCACTACCTGGCACCTTGAACAAGATGTATATAAGGTCACGAGATAGATTTGTTTCTCACATACACCCCCTTTCCCTCGTAAGACAGAGCTCAACACAAAGAACCTTGTAACTACAACTTTTCTATTGATACTCTGATAAACCCTTCCCAGCCCTCATCAACATATGCTTCACACTGACAGTATAGAATAGCAATAGCAGTTTACTAATGGATTCCCACACTACAATTGATCCTAATTCCTATGCTTTTCAGAAATCAGAGCAAGGAATAATTTGAGCTTAAGTCAAAAAATAAATGATACGACCGCCAGGGAACAAGAGATTCCATGGTAGATTTAGGTTGTGTATTCGTGGGCATTTCCTTTTACATAGGACCGAACCCCTGCATTCATGATATCCCAATGAATGCGGCAACGAATAAGAGAGGCGACTGACCTCAAAATCGGATAAAATTATCTATTTCCAACTCAATAGTGATGACTTGTGGCAAGAAAGAAGCCAAAGCATCAAAATGGAGCCCTATAGCCAGCTAGAAAAAGAATTCACCTTCCGCAAGCATGCTGTATCAGCATCAAGCTTCATCCAAAATTCTGGTCCTCGTTCACCGATCACCATAGGTGGCAACATTGACCGTTCAGTAATGACGACGTTAAGCACGGCAGGGAAGCACTCATTCCACAGAACAAGAGGTATGGGCGAGATGTTTTCACTTAAATACTGGCTGAAATACATCACTATTAGTCATTTATAATTAGCCTTGCTAGGCCGGGTTCAACAGATATTGCGGAGAGGGTCTCTAACAATATAGTTGGCTATGAGCCACACTAATTTATGATAGACGGCATATGATGGGTGATGTTTCTTGGAGTAAATGTACATTCGCCTATGGTTGTCAAAGCAGTACGGAGCTCATTATTGCATTGTAGACCTCAGAGAAAATGAAGTTACTGGATAGACTTTTGGGAGAAGGGGAATGGTACTCATAACAAGAAGGGGCGCTTGAACACCACTACACTGAATCCCACTCGAAACTAACAAATCAGTTTTCGAGAGGCAGAGAGACCACGATAATGTGTTGCTGACCGTAATCATCTCTTCGACAAAAAACATCGAAATGACGCTGACTGCATGCTCATCCAGCTTTCGTATAGCCCAACTCTCTAAGGGGTATGTCAAAGCAGAAAGGACCGCTGTGCCGAAAAGGTGAGCGCAGAGCCGGTCCTTCTTTGGATTCTTCACTACTGCCTCGATGTTCTTAAATGCTCCTTATGCCGCTATTGCTCCTGCTCAGATCCTGTGCTAGGTTGTTAATCATATTGACTTCTCGGCCTAGATGCATGTAACTGAAGAGTTCAGAGTTGTGCATTCCGTTCAACATTAACGGAGCTGCAAGTACCAATCCGTTTCTCATAAATCGTCTTCGTTAGGTTCAGTCGTAATCGATCCATTCACAAGCGCTGTCGAATTCGGCCACCATTTGATCCGCCTGCTCGATGTTCGGTGTTATAATCACGATGTTGTTTGTAAAGCTGAGGCGATGTAAGTAGCTGCCGTCGACCTTCACTCCAAAGTCTACCCATTCCAAACGACGCATGATGTTCCCGAGAGCGGCACTAAAAAGTCTGCGCGAAATGTTATCGCCCTGTCGAACCCTCTATATAGAATGGCGAGATCCTGATCGTGAAGTTGGTGTAGAACTCACGCATATCCTTATATATTGAGTGAAAACACCCTGGTTGCCCAGGACTTTTTCCATTACCATTTCTTTCTTCAAATCGATGGAAGCTATCCAGACATTTTGTACTCTCGCGATACTTCAATGAGTCTTGTGGCGGTGTGCATGTGATCGATTGTACTGAATCCTTTCCGAAAACCTGCTTGCTCGCAAGGCTGACCTTCATCTAACATTCTACCGATCCTAAGAGGATGATACGTGTGATAGTTTGTAGGTTGCCGACAGCAGGCAGATGGGGCGGTACTTGCAATATCGCCAGCACCTTCTTATACAGCGAAACAGACTTGCTAGTTTTCCACGAAGTGGTCACCTTGCATTCCGACAGTTACCGCGTGAAGAGCCGAGCCAGGGTTTCGACAATGACTGGCAGAAGGCTCATTAGATGTTCTGGTTTATCCCATCTCAATCGGGAACTGCACAATTCTTCAGCGACGTGATGAAATGTCAAATCTCGTAAGCGAAGGAGCGATGTTCGTCTTTCTTGATAGGAAGGTAGGCGTGGCTGTCAAAAGGATCCGTGTAAAAGTCGTAGATAACCTTCTCTATTACTCTTGAAGATGCAGTAACTCTTCCGTCAGGACGACGAAGGGAAGTCATCTTGGTCTTGTAATTGGCGAAGCTCCGTAGGGCTTTGAATGCTCTTTTTGGCCTCGGCACTTCGTCCATAACTGCTACTCTTCTCTCTCTCAGATCTTCCTTTATCGCCACTCTGAATAGCTTCGCAACTCCATACAGACAGAGTTTGAGGAGTGTTAACAGAATACTAACAAGGGTACACAGGAGGACTCACTCTTTCAAAAAATATATCTGTATAAGGTTAGGTCCTTGACCGTCGGTACAACAACTGGTAAACCCAGGTGTTCAAAAACGGCGGAATTTTAGGACAACAAAATATGATAAGCATATAATCCTAAGAGAGTAAAAAAATAAATAACTAAAGTGAAAATAAGAAAGGGAAAGAAAAACCTCCTGATAAGACGTCGTTTTTCAACAGGTGAAGTTTTTGAATGATTATTAAAAGTTTCACCTTACTAGAATTAGCCGCTGCATGGAAACATCAGATTCACGAGAAGGAACGAGAATGTTCAAAGTAATACAACAAGCTTCGCGATCAGGGTTGATTTTGAAAAGCCGACTGCTCTTCTACTGATGCGGACGAGCGTTTCTGATAAGGCAGAGGCAGGAAAAGAAAACAAAAGTTACCTGTGAAATATTACAAGAGAGAAAAATAAGGCATTGTAGACCCTTCCCACATCGATACGTCCTTTTTGCCACTAAATAGAACATTAGACGGATTGTTGGAATCTGCCAACACGCGTACAAACTTGATCTAATGAGATCGGGACTGACGTCGAATTCAACTCCATGGACACCAATGAGTCGCAAAGGGTTCCTTCGAGCGTACTCCATCAATGTGGCCACTTCTGACAACGACACTTTTAGACGTTCATCCGCAAAGATAACAAAACCATTTCCGATCGCATCTTGAAGAGAGCTTAAATCAAGATCCTGAAAAAAATATAATACCTTCGAGCAATATTTCAGAGACTTACTTTAATACAAATCAAGAACTTCGATATTTCTCACGATTCTTTTGGGAATTACTTTCGCTATTATCAAAGTAAATGGAGATTTAAGCAGTTCACTTGCCGAATAGAACCCTAACCAAACGAACTCTCTGTCAGGTGGACCACGACGGGGAGAAACATAAATCCAAGCGCCATTGATAAACCTATGGTATCATGGGCATGAAGAGCATGAGGAAGCTGCGCCGACCCTGGCATAGAAGCCTTCCAAAAATCACCTCGGTTATACGGAAAAAGAGCGCACAATGCGTAGCTCACCAGTTTGACATCTGAGCGGGACTAGAGCCAAAGCGTGCTTCAAGACTGGTGATGATAACTTGAGGAGCCCCATTCCATTTCTTATCCCTGAAAAAGGAGAGAGAGAGAAAAATGACCGAACCTTACAAGGGGAAAAGAAGGATCCCTTGTCGAAGTGGCCATTGAAATGAGACCTATATTGCTAGTGTATATTATATACCAGACGGCTACACACACTATTGNCATAAGAGACAGTGCCACATGAGCATTTGATTTTCATTATAGACCTTTGTCATCTGAGCCTCTTCCCTGACACTTCTGTAGCGGCCATCATTTTTTGGGGATGTGAAATGGGGCTGCGTGTGGCCATGAAGAGTACTCCGATGTATCCAAATCAAATACCTCTGCAGTCCATGTAGTCGAAGAAACTGTGTAATTTGGGCTGTGTGTGACCATGAACAGTTAGCTTTGAAGGGCAGCCCCTTTTGGTAGTTGTACGGATTTACACGTCTCTACAGGGCATGCACCTGTAAGGCCGGGGTTATTGTAGAATTTATTTTATGAGGTTTGGAATTAATGTAGTGCATTTGTTCTTGTGTAGAAGGGACTACTGTGTGTGAAACCATGGATACTAACGTTTAAAAAATTTTCAGCCCAATTTCTGAGAGTTTAGTGGTATCCCCTAGATGTACACCTATGTGGTCAGGGCCAGTGAGAAGGACAAATGTATAAATTTTTGATCTCAGTCCAGCCCCCTCTTTGCAAACCCTCCACCCACTTCAGACGTCGAACCACATTACTTCTACTATCTCCAGACACCTTTTTCCCGCGTTCTAGAACGCATCTAAAGAGACTCAATAACTGTGATGTAAGCCCCGCCCACTTTAGTGCCCATCCCGCCCAATGTGGGATCTGACCACATTTGTTCTACTAAATCTTACCACTTTTTCCCCCACCCCGCAACGTTTCTAAATAGAGTTATAAATTTTTGAGCAAACCCAGCCCACTACTGGGAGTTGACCACATTCGTTCTTTTGCACCTTAACACTTTTTTGCCNGTTACACAGAATGTAGAGCTATAAATTTTTGAGCTAAGCCCTGCCCGCTTCAGTGCCAACCCCGCCTACTTCTGGGATTTGACCACACTTGTTTTTTACACCTTAACAGCTCTGCGGAGCTCCCCTCACGGGGGCGGGGCTCCGCAGAGCTCGTGCTCTTATGTGCTCTTATAACCCTGTCTCAGGCTACACCCATCCCAAACTTGTCCCGACCTCTAAAGGTGTTTCCTCAGATAAAACCGGATTGCGTGACTCACTGACATACATACATGTATACACACAAAAAGGCACACCAAACTTATGGATTATATAATGTAAAGACACCCTCTGCGGGTCCAGGTACTTAATATAGCGCTTGGTGAGCTACTCGATGACGGTGTAGGACGCCGACTTCCAAATTCCGCTGAGATGCGATTCGGTTCGGTGCCTTTCTCAGCTTCAGCTAACCAGGGCGTGTTCTGCAACCCATTCTTATATCCACGTAGCCACCTCTTGTGTATCGACAGACGAGGTCCGTGTAGTAGATGACGGCATTCTCTTCGATCTTCGCTCTCGATTTCTGCGATCTGCCCATCGCGTCCCTCAGGGCCGAAGTGATAGAGCAAGAGTCATTAATGTCCTGACGAATCGTTCATGGCTCACCACCGATTCAGTCCAGTGCTTTTGTGTGGCTGAATCGACTCACAGCGGCGAAACATGTTCTATTGATCAAAGCACGTACCAGTGCCGTCGCGGCATGTGCAGGTCCTCCCACAAGCGAATCGTAATCCTGTTCTAAGTCCTGTGCCTCCTGCCACGTGTACTGGGCAGCGGTTACCTCTGTGGCGCTTGTGTCATACTGCAGTAACCGTATAGGAGGAGGTCGGGAGTTTCCTCGTCTTCGCTTCGAAGATCCGCTATTTGGCGGACTTTGACTCCGACCAGCCCGAGGGTCGTCCCGGTGCGAAGTGCCCTACCTACTAACGTCTAGCAAACTCCACTTTCTGCTGGTGTGAACGTGGTCGATTCAATGGAATTGGATGTGTGGGAGCTGTCCGTCATCGGCCTACGTTTTGGCTGCTGGAGTGGCTGCCTCCATGGAAGTGGTTGCATTGCTCCAGAATGTCCATCAAACGTTCTCGGTTCTCATTCGTTTCTCCGATTCCATGAGGTCCAATGCGCGCTGTCGCGTGAGTTACTGCATTGAAGTCCCAACGACGTATTTGTAGTATGAACGCTCGTTCTAACCATTCCCATTTCTTTATAAAAAGTGTCGCTACCTCAGTACAGGCAGCAGGCAGATTGCGCGATACTTGCCAATACCGTCGGGATCTCCCTGCTTGTAGTAGGTTGAGTCATAAGTCGTCGGACAAATTGACAATGATTATATTTATCTTACAATTTTTAAACGACACTAGCGAGTCGTTTGAAATATGCCCCATTGGCATCAATGGTCTTTGCCAGACCGCTTGGGCAGATCGTAGATGGCCTTGCTCCAGAACGCTTGGTGCTGACCCTTGGAGAGCTGCTCGAATGCCATTTTGATGTTGTCGCTGGTCTGAAAGTTTTGACCATCCAGGTGACGTTGGAGATGGGTGAAAAGGGTGGTAATCCGAGGAGCC